GAGATACTGGGTCATACTGGGAAGGACTGGGAGGTGTTGGGCCATACTGGGAGCGGACTGAGAGGTTCTGGGCTGTACTGGGAAGGACTGGGAGGTGCTGGGAGCGGACCAGGAGGTACTGGGCCATACTGGGAAGGACTGGGAGGTGTTGGGCCATACTGGGAGCGGACTGGGAGGTGCTGGGCCGTACTGGGAGCGGACTGGGAAGTGCTGGGCCATACTGGGAGCGGACTGGGAGGTGCTGGGTCGTACTGGGAGCGGACTGGGAGGTACTGGGTCATACTGGGAGCGGACTGGGATGGGAAACGGCGGGTGCTGGTTTATACTGGGAGGCACTGGTTTATACTGGGGGACCCCCAGGTCACAACGCCGACGACATCGCCGAGACCGTGCTGATGAACTTCCTGCGGGGCGACGTGGCCCGGCTGCGCCGTGCGGCCACCGAGGCCACCAGTATGGCTACCGAGGCCACCAATATGGCCGCCGGGGTCAACAATACGGCTGCCAGGAATCCCGGTTCAACGGTGGCCACCAAAACCCCAACGGTGGCTACTGAAGATTCTGTGGGGGCAACTAAGAGTCCAGCAAAGATTTCGATGGATTCTGGGGCCACCAAAAACGCAATGGTGGCCACCAAAGACCCAACAGAGGCCACTGAGAGCCCAACGAAGATCTCAACGGTTTCTGTGGCCACCAAAGACCCAATGGAGGCCACCAAGAGCCCAACGAAGATCTCAACAGCTTCTGTGGCCACCAAAGACCCAACGGAGGCCACCAAGAGCCCAACAAAGATCTCAACGGCCTCTGTGGCCACCAAAAACCCAACAGAGGCCACCAAAGACCCAATGGAGGCCACCAAGAGCCCAACGAAGATCTCAACGGCTTCTGTGGCTACCGAAGACCCACCAACGGCCACCAAGAGCCCAACGAAGATCTCAACGGCTTCTGTGGCCACCAAAGACCCAACGGAGGCCACCGAGAGCCCAACGAAGATCTCAATGGTTTCTGTGGCCACCAAAGACCTAATGGAGGCCACCAGGAGCCCAACGAAGATCTCAGTGGCTTCTGTGGCTACCGAAGACCCACCAACGGCCACCAAGAGCCCAACAAAGATCTCAGTGGCTTCTGTGGCTACCGAAGACCCACCAGAGGCCACCAAAACCCCAACGGAGACCACCAACCCCACCCCGACCTCCTCGCCCCCCTCAACCCCACCGAGGACCACCGTCACCAAACCCCCCGGAACCAAACCCACCTCCCTTCACCCCCAAGTCCCCCGACCCCTGGTTGGTAGCCCGTGGCCAGCGGTCCCTCGTTGCAAACCTTTGAGGAACGCCTACGAGAAGGAAATCGTCCTCTACGCCTACTTCCAAGGCTTGGATTACGTCAGCACCGAATGCATCTACGCCCCCCACGCCTACCGTGGCCACGCCAGGGCCCTTTTAAAAGATTTAGAAGCCACCAGACCCAGTTCGGTAGCCGCTTTAGGTCATTCGGGTCGTAGGTTGGCGGTGGGTAGCCACGTGGCTACTAAAACGTTGGGGGCTTGCGTGAGGTGCGGGTTTGCAGCCAGCCAGGAGATGTGCAAGGCTTGCGTGTTGGTGGCGTCGTTGGAGAAGGGGATGCCACGTTTGGGGTTGGGGAAGAGGGCGGTGGGGGTGGGGGGTGGGGG